TCAGGGTATGGTGTAGCCCAGGATAGCATCAAACTTGCTATATAACTGAAGATGACTTTGAATTTCTAATCCTCCTGCCTTTGCTTCCCAAGTGCTGGGATTACAAGTGTGCACTACCATGCCCAGTTTATAGGTTTCAGGAAATCAAACCTGGGGTTGTGTGTATGCTAGCCAAGTACTCTATCACAAGAGCTACATACCCAGCCCTACCATTAGAGTAAATTCTTGACACTCTGGAGTTTCCACAACTTGCAAGAAACCCTGAAAAGACATGATATGCCATAATTCATCATTTTGCTAACTGAACTCCCACTGCAAGTCTGCTATGCAAAAGAATGTCACTTTGCCAAGGAAAGCAACGAACCACCCAGCCCAGTGTCTCCACATAGATTTGTTATTTACGCATGGAATGCTCTCATAAAGTGAGATGGAGGAGGGACTCATGAGGCCCTGCCCCTCTGCAGGGAACCACCATCTACTGATGGATTCTAAGGAAAGGGCTGAGACTCATTGTGTTCAGTTGTATACACACCAGAAAGCATGCCAGGCTCCACTGGATAGTTCCATGTTCATGGTCAGGTGGGTAGCCCTGGCTAAACTCAGAGCAGAGGAGAGACTGGCAGAAGTGGGAAGAAGGCAAGAGAATGGTGGATAAAAGTTATTGGGATGCATTGAGTACATGCATGAAATGATCAAAGGATAGATTTCATTAATAAAAATTTAAACTAATTAAATAATGAGTTCTATAGATGTCGTTGCTAGAGCCAGAATGAAAGCAAGGATAGACTTTAATCTTCAGTTCAGTATTTCCAAGTCATGGCCCACTTAAAACTGCTCCCAAGGTTGACAGTTCTGTCAAAATTAAAAAATAAAAAGAAGAGAAAGAACAGAAGGAGAAGGAAGGGAAGGAGGCAAAGGAATAGAGGAGAGAGAAAGGAGGAGAGAGAGAGAAGAACAGAAATCCCAATGCATTTGGGAAATTCTGAGCATTACATTTCCATGAAGTCCTTCCCTCCCTCCCCGATACTCTCAAATGCAGATTAATTGTACATTAAAACCTCTGATACATTGTCCAATAAAGAAATTTACCTCATTTTGTTCAAGGTACTGTATCTTAAACTTATTCGAGAACAAACATTTTTCCATGGTACATTGTGTGCTACAAAACACTAGTTTGGGATTCACAGAATCCCTTAATGAGTCAGAGAATGATTAAAAGTAAAAAGACACTTAAAATATTTCTACTTCATTGAGCCTCGAGTTTACAGAAGGCATTACATGCAGTTAAAATATTCTCGAACTGGGGGTTCCTGTAACTTTTGCAACTTACCTTACAAAGAATACATTCAAGTATATCAACTATCATCAGCAAACATGATGTTTTCCTCTCCTCATTTCCTTTTTTAAACACCTTTATTGGTTCCTTGAGAATTTCATACCAGCATCTGGACCATATACAGACCTCCTCCCACACCCCTACCTCTGGCTAATATCCCACCCCCCCAACTTCATGTCCTCTATTATTATTTTTCTTTTTTAAAGCCTATCAAATCTAATCTGTGTCCCCCAAATACCCAGACTTCATTTCCCATTTCTGTGCAATTTATTTGTTTTCCTTTCTGCATAACCACTTAGCAGTGTTTTCCTCGGTTCTTTATTTGTTCACTTAGCCAGCATAGCTGTAGTGCTCTCTGTGTAACTCTTCTTAATGCTTTAGTAGTAACAACTCATGGATGTGAAGTCACCCTAGATCTCACGTGCCATTATTATTATCCCCACTGCACCAGCAGGAAAACTGAAGTTTCAAATGATGATGAAGCATCATGTAGGTAAGCATGTAGTCTTACCTACATCCTAGGGTGGGGGGTGTTAACCCATGCACATGCAGAAGCCAGAGGCCAACATTAAGTGTCTCCTTCTATCTATATCTACCTTATTTTTTCAGACAGAATATCTCACTGAACCTGGAACTCACCAATTAAGGTAAACTGGCTGGCCAGCAAGCCCCCAGGGTCCTCCTGTCTCCACTCCCACCCCACTGCTCAGTGCTAGTATTATAGACCCAAGCCTCATATGTTTTATGAATTTTGAGAGGATTCAAACTCGGGTCCCCATGCCTTCCCAGGAAGCACTTTACCCAAGTGAGCCATCTCCCCAGCCCCTAGAGTCCATCTTTTACAGAAACTATCACTAATTTTTTTTCCTTAGTCATCTTTGTTCTAATTGTAACTATAAAGTTCATATCATGTGAAGGAAGAAAGTTTCTATTTGGGGTCTTATTTTTAGTCAACATTAAATGTTGAACTGTGAATACCTTTCTCAGCCTTTCATAATTACCTTTCATGATTATCTCCAGTGAGATGCTTATGTTTCCAATCATTTTCAGCTAATGAAGTAAGATGCTAGCTTGGCTTTCCTGAGCCCAACCATCCTTAGTTACAATTGTATTAAAATCAATATTTTATTTCTAAACTCATAAATGAGGTTCAACAACCATTCCTTCCTTTAAGTTTGATGGGAGTGCTTGCCTCAGCCCACTCAGCGCATAAACATTTGTGAAGTGGTTGTCATGTGCACTAGACACTGTAAAACATCAAAGATTCAATATGTGCATCGTAGGAGAGAGCACAAGGGAAGACGGTTTTCTATAGTCATGTAGACGAATGATCCCTGATAGACAGGACAAGGTCAATGACATAGGGAGCTTCATAAATGCTCAGAACATGTATAAATTCACTTCTCTATTACTGTGTTTTGATTCCCCCAAAGACTTAAGGTATTATTTAAATACGAGGCACCAGTTCAGCAGCCTGAAAGCACAGAGTCAATGTGTGTGTGTGTGTGTGTGTGTGTGTGTGTGTGTGTGTGTGTGTGTGTGTGTGCAGGCAACCATCAGACACTTTGTTGTTGCTGTTTTTTTTTTCAACTGTCATATCATACTTTTACAGCAAGCACTTCACCAACTGAGCTATCTCTGCAGCCCAACATCCATCTTCTAAGGTAAGAATCTACCATCTGGTCAATTACTTAGCACACTGTAAGGGTTAAATAACTAGTTATTTTTAAAAAAGGAAAAGAGATCAGGTGTAGTGGTTATGATCACAACAGAACTCAGAAAGCAAGAGGATTGAGAGTTCAAGGCCAGCCTGGGCTACATATCAAGACCCTGGAATTGGGAAAAAGAAGAGAAGAGATAAAGACACAAGAAGAGAGAAGAGGAGAGGAAAAGGGAGGGGAGGGGAAGAGAGGGGAGGGGAGGGGAGGGGAGAAAAAGACATCAGTCAGCTCTTTAATCAAACCAACCAGCCAAATCATTTTTTTTTTTGCCCATTCCTATCTTTTTTAGTTGATTTTGTATGTGTGTGTGTGTGTGTGTGTATTTCATACAGAACATCCGAAACAATCTTATTCATCTTTATACCTGCATACCAAATGGCACCCTCCCATAGCCCACCCACTGAACCCCATATACTCTGTCATCCCTGTTACTGTCCACTGTGTTGTCGGTGCCCCCAGCCGTTCCCCACTGCAAGTCCATCTGCTGAGTCTAGTCATCCTATCTAGAGTCCCTTGTTTTAGGAAGATCAGCTCTTCCTCATCTAGCAAAAATCAGTTGCCAACTTTCCTTTAGATAACATTGGGGTCTGCCAAGCCCATTTTTAAATGCTAACCCATTGAACAATATATTTGTTCAATGGTTCAGTAAAGAAAGAGGTATTATGAAATTTCACCTTCAAATGAACTCAGAATGTGAGAGGATAAGAATCTGAAGTAAACAACAGGAATCCCTGGGATCTGCAGAAAAAAGAACCATAGTATTCTTTTTGCATGTGTATGTGTGCAATACGCATCCATGTGTATATACATGCTCACATGTGTGTGGACACATGAATGTGTGCAAGTACACATGTAGGCATATGGGTGTGGAGGCCAGAGGTATCTTCTCTGTCATTCTTCACCTTGTATATTGAGGCAAGGTCTCTCACTTGAACCAGAGCCCCCACTTCAGTTAGTCTCACTCACTACATTGCACTAGGGATCTCCTGTCTTTGACCTCCATGCCCTGGGGGGCTACAAGTGGGCTTCGAAACTCATCCAGCGTTTACATGGACATTAGTGATCTGAACTCCATGGAGGCCTCATGCTTGTGATGCAAGACCTCTCTCTCTGCTAAGCCATCTCCCCAGCCCAGAACCATAATACTTTGCCAAACTCTTTCATTCCCTAAAGATATAGCCAAGTATCTAAAGAGCCCTGGGTACCATCTCCTGAACCAAGCAATTGGCTCTTTGCATCCCAAGGGTTTTCTGATTAATTGGCTACTCCAGCCAAAGCTCCTAGCCCTAGAGAATTATGGGGTTAGGACTTGGGGACAATCAAAGAGCAGAGGAAAAGTCTCACCTGTAATTCTTCCTAATAAGAATTATCTGGTAATGGAGACTAAATGATACTCGGACCCAGAAGTAGATGTCACATAGCAACTGAATAGATATAGCCCATCAGAGGATCAAGCACTGACAATCACATTCGTTCTTTTTTCTTCCATCCTCATTTATCCCTTCATCCCTCTCATCCATTTTGTTTTTCTCCACCCCACTAAACCCCTTTTCTCCATTTCATGCCCTCTTTTCTATCCCTTTGGGGTCTGATTCCCTTAAATTTTCCCTCCTCCAAGATTCCAGACCCATGCCTTGCCCCTGCCCCAGCCTCTCCTGATGGCCCCTTTTGCCCTCTTTCCCTGCCTGTTCCTCTCCCCCAGTTCCTGTCCCAGGGCTGCCTACCCTTCTCTTCCTTTCGTCCCCTTTCCTTATCACTAGGATCCTGTGGGTGGCTGTGAATTCCCGAGGAGTACTTCATTCTCTCCTCTCTCATCTTGGTGGGGTCTATAGCCAGTTCTCCTGTTGCTCAGAGATGTGGAGGCAGTTGCTAAGAGACAGTGAAACGTCATTACCTGGCCCTCGAGGAAAAAAGGGGAGCGAAAAAGAGAGAGAGAAGGGGGAGAGATGGAGGGAGGGGGAAAGGGAGAGACTGAGGAGGGAGGGGAAGACCTGGCTCTGGAGGAAGGCACACGCCAAGGCAGCCTCAGCACCAGCTGAGTTTCCGAAGAGGCATTCAGATTCTGTGAACTTTCTTCTAAGCATCCTCTCTGAGATTCCCCTTCGGGATAAAAGAAGGGGCACAGGGGACCACAGGACAGGAAAACGCAGAAGATGCTGGCCTGGGATCCGGAGCCGTGGAAGAGAAGAGCTGGGGAGGGGAAGAGCCGGGTAGGCAATCTGTTCCTAAGCAAGCAAGCAAGGGAGCGAGCGGGGATTCCAGGCTGAGGGAGGGAGAGCCGCGTCTGCTGCAGATTGATGGCTGTGTCCTTGGAACAGAGTGAGTAGGCTCCTGGGGGCCTGTCGGTGTATAGCAGGAGACCCTGGAGCTCAGAAAAAAAAAGAGTATGCATAAAGGGGTGCTGAGGTGATTTCCCAATGGGTGAGATTGAGGCTTGGACAGTGGGGGAAAGGGTGGGAAGAGTAGCGCTGAAGAAAGGGGTGGGGGAAGACAAGTGGAGACAGCAGGTGGGTAAGACAGAAGCTGGAGCCACAAAGGGTGAGGGGTGGGCATCTGGGCAAGGCTCGGGTGGTCTGTGGTTCTCCTTCCTTATCTCTTTGCCTGACCAAGTATGTATGGGTGTGGGCTTATCTGGAGGCAGGGTGCTGGAGAGTGGAGTGTTTGTGGAAAAGGATGCTAGGAGTAGAGCTGTGAAAGATGCTGGGGGGGCTCTGAAGAAGTGTGTGTAGAGAAAGACACTGGAGGGGAAACTGGGGAAGTGGGAGAGTGGGAGAGAGGGAGAGAGAGAGAGAAAGAGAGAGAGAGAGAGAGAGAGTTTGAAAGGGGTGTACAAACCGAGTGTGGATGCATGTTTTTCTTAGGGAGTTGTTCGGGGTGGGGTGTTTGGTGCTGATGAGGGTGGAGCTATGAGCAACAGAAGAAAATGCATCCAACTCAGAACAGAAATGTGGGAGGGGGATGGTCACAAATCAGATGGGAAAGGTTTATAAGTGGAGGCGGGGCTCTGAGCCCACTATGATCCTCATCTGGAAGATAGTAAACAAAGAACTTGATGGTTGGGGGACAGATGTTCAAGGAAAATTTGAGGAAGTGGGATATAAAAAGTAGTGAGGTAAGACAAAGGACCTAGGTAAGGGGACAGGGACTCGCAGAGCAATGGATTTCTCTGCCTGAATGCTTTTCTTGTTGACAGAGTGAATTCTGCCTCCACCTGCTGAGTGCACAGCTTCCCTGAGCACAGGGTCAGCTTGAAGACATAGACAGTGCTCTCCTAGCTGATCCCCAACTGTACTAGTAGAACTCATGACTTTTTCCAGCTTCAGTGGCCCAGACAATGGGTGTGACTTGGGTCCCACCCCTCCCTGGGAAACAAAGAGCATCCCTGGAGATTCCAAAAGCCACTAAGGCCGAAGACCCAGATTTTCAGGAGGCCCATGGGGGACGACACACTTCCCAGGCTTCCTTCCTAAGTCTCCTGCCCTAGGTCTTCCTTGAACTCGTGCCCACTGGGCCACCAGGAGAAATGGCCCCTGAGACCTTGAACGCTGGAGATCCAGATGTAGTCCTGACTTCTTAATCAGTCTCAAACCTAGGACAGGGCTTAAGTTTTCTTAGAAGAAGTGCCAGGACCTTTAAAGAGCACCTTTCATCTCCCTCACATCCTCCCTCCCACACCTCACACACAGTGCCAAGAGGAAGCCTCCAGCAAGCATGGGTGACAGGGGCACAAAAGATCTGAAGGGACCCTTCCAGGCCCTGCTGGCTGCTACTCCAACCCCATCCTGGTTTCCCCCCTTACTCGACCTTTGATCATCCTTTCAGACCCTGGGGGACCCTCATCTGGGTTTCTTGCTCCCCAGACCCCATAAAGGGACTTTCTGTGGCGCTCAAAAAGCCCTTAGGTGCTTAAAGGCTCCCTGGGAAGACTTGAACCATGACAGCTCACCCTCAGAAGCTCCCCCTTCCAGACTCAGGCCTCTGACATAGCTGCTCCCTGTGCACTGACTGTTGGACCCCAGGACACAGACCTCATGGGCTCCCTACAGCACTGCAGCTGCCAGCTGCCGAAGAGGAGTGACACCTGGGCCCAGCTTCCATGGCCTGGGCCTCCCCACCCAGCCTTGTTGCTGGTCTTTCTCCTCTTGGCAACTGGGGTGATGCACACTGATGCGGGTACTAGTTGCCCAGTCCTTTGTACATGTCGTAACCAAGTAGTGGACTGCAGTAGCCAGCGGCTGTTCTCCGTACCCCCGGACCTGCCAATGGACACTCGCAACCTCAGCCTAGCCCACAACCGCATCGCAGCTGTGCCGCCGGGCTATCTCACTTGCTACATGGAGCTCCGAGTGCTGGATTTGCGTAACAACTCCTTGATGGAGCTGCCCCAGGGCCTCTTTCTCCATGCCAAGCGCTTAGCCCACCTGGATCTAAGCTACAACAACCTCAGCCACGTGCCAGCCGACATGTTCCAGGAGGCCCATGAACTGGTGCACATCGACCTGAGCCACAACCCCTGGCTGCGAAGAGTTCACCCCCAGGCCTTTCAGGGCCTGGTGCAGCTCAGAGACCTGGATCTCAGCTTTGGAGGCCTGGCTTTCCTGAGCCTCGAAGCCCTTGAGGGTCTCCCCGGGTTGGTGACCCTGCAGATCGGGGGCAATCCATGGGTGTGCGGCTGCACCATGGAGCCCTTGCTAAAGTGGCTACGGAATCGGATCCAGCGCTGCACAGCAGGTAAGATGGTGTGACTGGACTCTGTCACCAAGGGGAGGGCTTCCGGAAGTAAAGGCTCCAAAAAGAATAGGGGGTGATACTGAGAAAGACCCAGGGCATCTCTTGTGTGCCCTTATCTATGTACCTCTGGTCTTTCCTTTAGTAAATATGCTTGAGATGGTTGCTTAGGTGCTAGAGACACCCATTTATTAAAGAATCAGATGCTGCTTGCCTCTGTGGTGTATATGATCTAGAGAATGACCCACAGTAAGCGAAGTGGGAACAGCTGATCATTGATAGTATTTGTTGAAATGTTACCATGACCTTGCCATATACGATCTCATTGAACCTCCATTTTATTAGGCCCATTTTACAGGTGAAGATACTGGGATTTAGAACCAGGAGGAGGCTTGCCCAGAACACTCATTTAGAAATTGGTAGGGCCATAGAGAAACGCATTTATATGACTTCTCCTCCACTCCCTTACAAGCACTAAGAAAAAACGCTGAAAGAAACAACCATGACTAATCCTATTTATTTTAGTACTTACTATCTTCCAGACCTTATTCTGAGCATATTTCATATTTTAGCTCCTCTTATCCTCACAAGAACCCTAATGAGAAGAAAACTGAAGTACCAACAAGCGTAGTAGTTTGCTCAAATCACGCAGTTACCAAATGTTGGAGTTAGGATTTGAACCCTGGCAGTCTGGCTGACCTCTTGCTCTATTATCAAGAACAGGTTCTGAACTAAGAACCTAAGCTCTGGGCTGGTCAAGGGGCCTTAACTGAGTCTTCAAGGTTTACATATGGGGTGAATATTTGGGAAGAAGAATGGCGATATGGCAGTTTAACCATCTCGTACCAACCACAGTGGACTAAGGCCCGTGTTATAGAGGTCCTGGCCCACCCAGTGGCATCCAAGCCTGGTCCAGAAGCAGGCAAGTTTAGCTGTGTCTCCAGCCACCAACTCACTATGTGACAGCACAGAACCTTGACCCAGATGCCCAGCATTAGAACAATGGGAGTTCCTGGGGCCTCAACCCAGGGGTTCCCCAGAGCCTGGACTCGGCATGCCAGAATAAAACATGTGTATGTATGTTGAATGAGGCAAAGGGAGAGGACTGAGTGGGGAATCCAAGACTAAAATAGCTCAGAGGGGCTGTGGGTCACGATTCCAGTGTTTCCACAGAACTGTGGGAGGAAGTTCTCTGGAACCAAAATAGTTTGGGACAAAGATGGGGTAACGATGGGAGCCAGGAGGAGGAGGCTGCCTGGAACTGGCGCCCCAACAGCCCAATCTCTCTGCAAGCTGTGCCTCCCCCACTCTTGTCACTAGTGACAGAAAGGGTCCTCTGGGGTGCTCGGCTCCTGTCACAGTAAAGACTCTTCTTCTGGATCTCTGGAGGCCTGCTGTTCTGCAGAAGGCTTGGCTGCCTCAGGTGGGGGGGGCAGCCTCCCATCAGTGTAGCCTTAGAAGTCACTGCAGGTGAAGCATCTGAGCTCCAGAAAAGGACAGTGATGGTCCACAGACCCACTGTGAGAGCGCAAGCAGCCTATAGTGGACAGCCTGGCTCCTCTCCCTCTCCATAGAGCACGTGTTGCACTATGCCACGCTCACCATGTTTCCTCTTAGAATTGGATGATGCCATCCTTTTAGGTCTTTTCCCATTGCTCTCCTCCCTTTTTCCTTTGTGAGATTTTCATTGTTATCTATGTTCTAGATAACAATTCAAACATAGACTTGAAGAGCTACTGGGATACAATCTGACTCCGACATTGGTCTCTTGACTTACTAAAGAACTCAGCCTGTAGCCTCCCAGCTCTCATCCTGTGTGACCCTGCTGACTGCCCTCAGTCTCCACTAGATGGTCTGCACTGCTCCCTGCATTGGTCCTCACTCCTTCACTACCACTCCACTTATGGCACAGTAAACTTTGGAAGTCAACATCTTTTAGTATCAGACAAGAGCTTCTTGTGAGCCAACCCCAAACATGATCAAGACCTAGGCAAGGTCTGGGGTCCTGTACAAACAGCCTACTGGGATGACTCAACCTGAGACTTGGAGACGGTTGCATCCTTGTCCCAAATAAGAAAACATACACACACACACACACACACACACACACACACACACACACTTCTAAGGACAATATTGCATACCCATATCCACTTGTCAAAAGGATCAATCCAAGACCATGACTTTGTTCTTTGCCCTCAAAAGCTACATAACAAATGGATAGCATTTACACATCCTATATTTTATGTGCAATTTTGAAGACCTCACATTGACTTGCTTGGAAAATTCAGAGTAGATTAGCCCCTTCTTAGAAAGGCAGTACATGTGAGACAGAACAGGGGGAAAAAAGTAAGATTTTCCCAAATTAGAGCTCAATTAATATTTATGTCCTGAACAAAAAGCAAGACTGACTAGCTGCTCTGCAGCTGCTGCCCAGACTGAAGGGTGGGTCCGCCCCCATATGCCACTCTTACCTCTAAGACACTCTAAGATAAAGGCCACTGACATCCATCATGTGCTCATAGAAGTGACCCTGGGAGGATGAGGTGGTGCCATCATGGCTAGAAAGAACAGCCATCCCACCAAAGGAGCAAGCCCTCCCTCAGAAGCCTGAGTGCAGAATATGACCCCCAATGGACAGCGAGGGGCCCATCTATGATCATTATCAAACTCACACTTTGCCTAATGCTTATTATCATACACAAGAAACATTTGTGTATATGACTACAGCTCCAGGGGTTGAGGATTTAACTCAGTGGTAGAATGTATCCCTAGCAGACACAGGGCTCTGGGTTCAGTCCTCAGCTCTGAAAAAAAAAAAGAGAGAGACAAAACAATCACAACTCCAAAACGTAGATATCATGATTACCTCATTTTTATCTTCATTTGACAAAGAAACCAAACAAAGAGGAGCTAAAGTTCTACAACCACACAGTTAATGAGAGTTGGAAGGATTCACGCCCAGGACAGTAGCTCTAGAGCCCACACTCTCAACCTCGTATTCTGTGTATCTGGAAAAACCGTGGGTTAAGTAGCAAGACACAAGGCTTTGGACTTAGAGTCCTATGTTGATTTAAGAAAAGTTTACGATGAAAGGATGCCTTTCCTACGCTGAGGATACTGTGAGAGAAGCTTACTTTCAGTGGGGAGAAGACGGACAATAAACAAACTGTCAGGCAGGGATAACATCATGGGGAAATAGAAAGCAGAGCTGATGATAGGGAGACTGGGGAAAGGGATGTGGTCTGTTTTATACAAAATCACAAGAGAGGGCATCACTAAGAAATTTGCATTCAACCAAGTCCCAAAAGAAGTGAGAGAGTGGGCTCTGCAGGCAGAGACCCAGGGGAGAAGCTCCTTCACAAAGGGTAAATAGAAAGACCCCCTCTTCCTCCTGAGTAGGAATGTGCTTGGGGCCATGAAAGAATGACTAGAGGTCTGTGTCTCTAGAGAAGAGTAAATAAGCAAAATGGAAGAGCCAGGAAATTGTCCTTGGAGCCCATAGGGAGGATGCTGGCTTTCTCTCTATGCAAAGATGGGACGCCTGAGGAAAGTGTCAGGCAGAGAGGCATGGTGAGACTTCAGGCTTTTTTTTAATGTGTATGAGTGTATTGCCTGCAGCATGTAAGTGCACCCGTGCCATGTAGTGCTCACAGGGGACAGAAGAGGGCGTTGGATCCCTGCAACTGGAGTTATAGACAGATGTTAGCTGCCATGTGGATGCTAGGATTTGAACTTGGGTTTTCCGCAAGGACAGCCAGTGCTGTTAACTGCTGAGCCATCTCTCCAGCCCCTTCAATTTCAGGCTTTTATGCTGCAAAAGTCCCAGATCTACCACTGATGCTAGGTTTAAGACTTTCATCAAATAACTAAATTCTGTAAGCAATAATTTTCACATCTATAAAAATAGGTATAAATATGTTTTTGTTGCTGTTGTTGTTTGTAGGTTTTTTGAGACAGGGTCTCTCTATAGCCCCAGCTGGCCTGGAACTCACTATGTAGACCGGGCTGGCCTTGAACTCACAGAAAACCACCTGCCTCTGCCTTTTGAGTGCTGGGATTAAAGGTATGCACCACCACACCCAGCTGGTATAAATTGTTTTAAGGGTTGTTGAGATAAGAGAAGAAAAACAAATTTGAGATACATAGAAGAAACCCAGTGACTCTTCTAGGAAGTTGGGAGATTTTCCCATTCATCCTCATTCCCACAGGAGCCTCACCCTGCCTGGGTTCTTTGTTGTAGATTCTCAGCTGGCTGAGTGTCGGGGTCCCCCTGAAGTTGAAGGTGCCCCTCTCTTCTCACTCACTGAGGAGAGCTTCAAGGCCTGCCACCTGACTCTGACCCTGGACGATTACCTCTTCATCGCATTTGTGGGCTTCGTGGTCTCCATTGCTTCTGTGGCTACCAACTTCCTCCTGGGCATCACAGCCAACTGCTGCCACCGCTGGAGCAAGGCGAGCGAAGAGGAAGAGATTTGACACAGGTGCCTCTCACCCCTCCATGCTGCGACTGCCACTGCACTGACGACTGGACATCCACCCTGGCTGCCTACTCTGGATCATGATGCCCTAGCCACCCCCATCATAGCTCAAACAAGGTTGGGAAACTGACTTTATGTGAGCATCTATTTACTTTGGGCCAGGCACTATGCTAGGAACTGGAATCGAAGGACAAATCCAACGCAGGCCCTGGCCACGAGGTACTTCTAATAAAGGAGAAGTAAACTATCCCTTTATATCTAACTACCCCTTTATATCTAAATGTCAGTGCTCTGAGCACAAAGTTAGGGAAACCCAGAGGATGGTCCATCCACTGTGTCTCACAAGCCCCAGGAGAATTACAAGAATGGTGTGCTGGTAAGACGGGTTATCAAAAAGAAAACAAGGTCTGGCTATAAGTAGACAGAGAAGAGTGGACATAGCAGGTGACAGGGCATAATACACAGGGTATGCTGAGAGCAGCGAACTATTCCCTGCAACCTAAATGTATAGAGGGGAGTTGTGCAGAACCAAAACCTTCCCTCTGACACCCAGTCTGTCAGCTGTCACTGCTGACATCATCTGCCTACCATTGCCTCCAGGGAGTGAGGATGTCTCCATGCTAGCACCTTTGGCTTCCTCTTCCTAACAACGATTGGATGATGCCACTTCCAAGTGACTGTCCCCAAACTGCCCCTCAACTGCAGTCTGCTGGTGAGGTCTCAGGCAGCAGGCTGAGGGTGATAACCCTTGCTTTATCTGCTGCCTCTGACTCAAACCTTGTCTTCAAATAGGAAGGCAGGAGTCCCCAAATAGGGGCAGCAAAAGTCATGACACCCTGGGACCCCAGTTATGTGACTGTTCATGCCCATGGTGCTTACACCAAAGGATCTCACCAGGAAAGTATATTGTGGACCACAGATCCTAGCATGACAGTACCCAGGGCAGAAGGACAAAGTCACCGAGTCATAACCACAGGAGGGTGTTTCTTTTCTTCTAAGCAACTCACCCATTTTGAGCATAAGGGAGAACTGTTAATTCCTGAATTCCTGCTAAAGTCAGGCACTGTGATAAGTTCTTGCCTCAACTATTCCCTTTCACACACACAACAGCCCTTCCTGGGGAAAGTTCTTCCCATTATGCAGATGAAGTCATTCAGGCTCAGAAAGGATACAATCACATGCTGTGTCATGATCAAAATAAAATCAATATTCTTTTTACTGCCCCACCCCAATTGGAGAAGTCACAATTCTTTCTAAAGCTAGGCATTTTTATGCCTCTGATTCTTTTCTTTCTATCCCCACTACTGGTAGTTTTTATTGTTCCCACTTTACAGTTACATATGTTATAGAAAGTTGGGTAATTCATCCAGTCATCTAGATAAACACTAAAAAGAAGGTGGCAGGCAAGTCCTTCAGGAAACTTGTATCTCATCAGTCAGAAATCAAGTGATTGTGTGAGAAGTACAATTCTCATATTTGTTGTCACCTTCATCTTCTGTGTCATCTGCTTCATCACAATCCTCCCTGTCCTGTTCAGGAGGTGTTTTCCTAGACTTCTCATTAGCCTGTTTGGGAAACAAACCAAACATTAGAAATGCTATTTTACAGATGGGAAAGTAGAGGCTTAAGATTGAGTGTGATGTCAGCCTAGGTGGCAAGGTTGAACTCAGCTCAAACATGGTCCTTTCTCTAGCGCTTCCTGAGGCATTTGGGGAAGAGAATGCCCTGGAGGCCTTCACAGTGGGACCCTAGAATTCAGCAGCATTGAACATGTTAATAGCCCAGCTGTGCTCAGACTAAGCTGTGCTCAGACTGAGCTGTGTTCACTGTGAGGTAATGTCAGTCTCGAAAACACAGAAGCTGGACAAGCACCGTCTAACGGGAGACACCTTCTTTACAATGTATAGATTAAGCATTAGAATTGGTAGCTATGGTGGCTGTCATATTTTTTAAAAATAAGTTATTTGGGAAGCAGGAGAAGCTTCCCAGAAGCTCTGCTGTGTTGTGCTGCAAGAAAAATTAGGGAACTGAGAAAGTGATAGGTGAGAATCTTTGTGGAAGGTGAGAGGTACTCAAGGCTCAGTCCAACATGTTCTCAAGACGAACGAGGGTGAGAATGAAAACAAGGGCTTTCTACCTTGACCCCAGCTCCTGCAAGCTTCCATTGTGCATCCCCAGGTAGCCCTGAAATGAATGAAGAAGGAAAATATGTCATCTTCCAAATCATTTGCACTGATCTAGTCAAGCAAAAGAGTCCCCAGAAGCCTCTCCCTGTCCCTCTTGGCTATCCAGTCTGGGTGAGAGCCGTGCTCCTGTAGCTGTAAAGCAGAGTTGTCTACTTTCTCTGTCCACGCCACTGTGGCCAACAAGGGCAGATGCTAGCCATTCTTCCTCAGCCAAGCTTCGCTTAAAGTATTTGGAAAGGAACTTTTAGAAACAGTATTCCTAGTGAAAATAATAAAAATAATAATAATAATTCACCTTTCCATAGAGGAACACCATGCTCATCTATAATAATCCCCTGAGTACTACTGTTTACTGAATTATACTTAATATATTTTAAGATATGTACTATGTTTTTGCATAGAATTAGAACCAGACAAGACACTACATGCCCCTTGAGACCAAATGTCCTTTTCAGTGGGACAATTTGATCTCTACTAATGGCAAAGATTTCTAAGCAAGATAGGTGGCTTTTAAAGAAAATGTTTCTCTAGCTTCTAGAAGCTTGTCAGTTAACTAAAGCACAAAAAAGGGAGGCATTCAACCTCCAGACCAACATGGCATTCCACCTCCAACTTCTTCATACTGTCAGAACTAAGTGTCTAGAAATATCCTAATAATCCTCACTGCAATTGTTTGAACATCCTGGCGACCACAAACCTGTTATGGTGTTCTTATAAGGTTTCATTCCGTTTGTTCCACACTATGTATGTGTGCACGATGGGGCTCCTCTATGTCCATATGTCTGTCTGTGTGGTTCCACTTACATTGGTTATCTGCTGACTTGGAGAATGTTGCTCCTCATTTGGGTTCAATTCTCTGACAAAGTCTACTCAGTTATCTGACTGTTATATCATTTGATACACCAAGATGGAACCCCACCAGGTGTCTGGCTGCTCAGAACATAGGAAAAGAGACAACTCTACATTGACACACTCTAATGAGAACTTGGCTTCTTCGCGCTTCACTCCATCCCCTTGAGACACGCCCCCACACAGGAGTTTCAGCCGTTCTTGACCTGAATATATCAAGATTTAACTAACCAGCAAGATTATAATGGGCAAAGTCTGTCCAAGAAAATTGTTCTTTAGAAAAGACCCCACATTGTCATCACACCGTTCTGGATAACATGCGCTGATCATCCTCAAACACCCACCTCTTTTTCCATTCTTACCATGACTCCCATGAAAAGTCAAAGAAATGGGTCACTCAGAGATATTGTTGGGTTTCATGGCCCCTTTCAAAGGGTTGTAAAGGATTTGAAAAGACCAGGGAAGGTATTCCACTTAACCACTGAGGAAGATCAATAGCCCCATTTTCTCCATAAACATATTAGCTGTCATTTTTTCTAGTGGTGTAAGAGCATAAGGAGATGTCTTTGTTCATTCCTCAGAAGGACACTTCCCCAAAGCTAGCAAAAGGCGTCTGCTTTTCTCTACTCCAGAAGGAGGTAAAAGGAAAGGAGGCAAGTTGCAAGGTCCTTTGTAAACCCCCATGTCTGTCACAACACCAGCTGGAAAGCTGGACCCCACAAAACTCTCTTTTCCTACGCCCTGTCCTGCAGAATGCTGTTGTCTGGTGCTGGGAGGGTTAGGGAGGAGTAGGGATTCAAGGGAAGATGTCAACCTTTGTATGGAGATTATTTTATAACCATGCACTTTTGTAACTGTGAAGAATTTTTCATAAATGTACATTAATAATAAAGAGTGTATAGTTTAACAAATTTTCTAAAGAGTTGTGAAGAGGAGGGAGAGTGAAGTAGGCACAGAAAGAGACAGAAAGGAGTTAGGCAGAACCAAAAGAATGTGTGCCAAAATATACACACAAAAGGTCTATGGGGAGGGAGTAGATGGGAATAATTAGGAGATGTGCCAGCCATGGAGGGGCATGTGTGGGAGTAAAAGACACATCACAGAATCCCATTTCTACCAGGCGAAAAAAGAGTATGTGTGTGTCTCTATGCACATACCCCTGCGTGTAGGCATATTTTGGTGTCTGAAACTAAACAAAGCAGAGAACATATGTTTTAGACATGTTGGTGTTTGCAGTTTGGGTCATCCATAAAACATGCCAAGGCAAGTGGGTGTGCCTGCCTAATTAGCATCCTGAAGAGCATTGCTAGGAAGATGCCTCCTGCCAACAACATGGGCAAAAAGGCACTAACTCAGGCATGCGGGTAATCCAGGCATCTGGATGCATGGTTTGGGGGGCAGACAAGCTCACCACTGGTACAAATTCCATCTCTGTTCTCACAGGCTAATTAGCAACCTATAAGAAAAGAACCTAAACTTCCTGGGTCTTACAAGTGTTACCTATACACTGCCAGAAATGAAATGTTAGGCAGTATACCTTAGGAACAAAGCAGGAAAAGGAAGCAAGTCTACTTGGTAAGTATGGCAGCCGTGTTTCTCCCAGTACTAAAGTGGCTCTTAGCAGGAAGTCAGTCGAAGCAGGAAGTGGCCTACACTGCAGCTGATCCCTTCCATTTCCACCCACTCTATTCTTCCCACTCCTATTGCCATAAGATACAGAAAAATGCTGCACTCAAAGAGAAAGTCACTAAAGGGGATTCAGACACTAAGAAGAGCAGATAAACAGAGAACATCCTTATCTACAATTGGCATTTTCTAGAATAGAATGGAGGAAAGCAAAATCTTTCTCTTCAAACTAAATTATTTAATAGACTATATTGAACAAGTGACATCTCACAGAAGGCAAGACTTTGTACGTATCATTAAATGTTGTCCCTGATGCCCAGCATTTTCCTAGCAATGGATGGTGGTGGTGGTGGTGATGGTGGTGGTGATAGTGGTGGTGGTGATGATGGTGTTGGTGGTGGTGAAGATGGTGATGGTGATGATGGTGGTGGTGGTGGTGGTGGTGATGGTGGTGGTGACAGTGGTGGTGGTGATGATGGTGTTGGTCGTGGTGAAGATGGTGATGGTGATGATGGGGGTGGTGGTGGTGGTGATGATGGTGATGGTGGTGGGGGGGGGGGTGATGGTGGTGGTGGTGGTAGTGGTGATGATGGTGGTGGTGGGGGTGGTGGAGGGGGTGGTGGTGGTAGTGGTGGTGGTGGTGATGGTGGGGGTGATGGTGGTGGTGATGATAGTGGTGATGATGGTGATGGTGGTGGTGGTGGTGATAGTGGTGGTGGTGGTGATGGTGGTGGTGATGATAGTGGTGATGATGGTGATGATGGCGATGGTGGTGGTGGTGGTGGTGATAGTGGTGGTGGTGGTGGCGGTGGTGATGATGGTGATGGTGGTGGTGGTGATAGTGGTGGTGGTGATGTGGTGGTGGTGGTGGTTGTGATGGTGATGTTGGTGGTGGTGGTAATGCTGCTGGTAGGTGTGGTGGCAGTGATAGTGATGATGATGGTGGTGATGGTGGTGGTGGTGTTAATAATGGTGATGGTGGTGGTGATGGTGATATTGGTGGTTAAGGGTGGTGATGTTGGTGATAAGAGATGGTGGGGATGATGGTGATGGTGGTGGTAGTGATGATGATGATGATGGTGGTGATAGTGGTGGTAAGGGGTGGTGGGGATGATGGTGGTGGTAGTGGTGGTGGTAGTGGTAATGGTGGTGGTGGTGATGGTGGTGATGGTGGTGGTGGTGGTAGTGATGGTGGTAGTGGTGGTGATGTTGGTGGTAGGGGTGGTGGGGGTGATGGTGGTGGTGGTGGTGGTGATGCTGGTGGTAGGGGTGGTGGGGGTGATGGTGGTGGTAATGGTAGTTATATTTATTGAACATTTATGTAACAGGTGCTGTGCTAAGCACTATATCTGTATCAATTCACTTATTCTCTCAAAAAGTCAAGATAAATGCCAGGTGTAGTGGTGCACATCTCTAATTCCAGCACTTGGGAGACTGACACAGAAGGATTATGAGTTCAAGGCCAGTCTGGGCTACATAACAAGACCTTGACTCATAAAACAAAGAGAGAAAAAAAAGGTAAGTCCTGTGATTATAGCCACATTACAGATAGAGGAGTTGAGATACAACAGATTGATATGGGCATAAAGTTGCATAAGTAGTGTGAATAGGTCTGGGTTTAGATAATCAGTGTGTGACTACTGATTTCATAGGATAAGAAAACATAAGAAATTTTTAAGTATTTTTTAATTTAATAACCACATGATTAGAAGAAGCATTTCATTACAGCTTTAACATATTCAGTAACAATTTCCAGAGCAAGGATACATCTCTTTCAAAAGTGGCTGTAAATTTTTAGGTTCACAGTTGAATTAATACAGTTATACAATATTGAACTCAGTATAAATCCTATAAGACATAAAGTTGAATGAGTTTTTAACCTTTAAAGATCTCCATTTTATTTTAAAATAGGCTGTTTCCTACATTTTTAATGCTACTAACACTTAGATGTTTGCACATGTGTCTTTAATCTCTATGTAACTGATTATTACTAGTCATAGTCGCTTACACTCGGATCCTTGGCACCTGAGTATGGATATAAAGTCATCAGGTAGATTTCAATGGTAATGTTTATCACCTCTACTAATTAACATGAAGTAAATTTTTATGCTTCCTCCTCAAATACGTTTTTTTTAATTTGTTGATTTTTGTGTGTATGTGTATATCATACAGAACATCCCAAACAATCTTATTCATCTATACACCCACTTCCCAAATGGCACCTTCCCATAGCCTCCCCACCCCACCCCCACTGGAGCCCATATACTCTGTCATCCCTGTTACTGTCCACTGTGTTGTCAGTGCCCCCAGCCATTCCCCAGTGCAAGTCCATCTGCTGAACCTAGTCAGTCTATCTAGAAATCCTCGTTTTAGGAAGATAGGCTGTTCCTCATTTAGCAGCAATCAGTTGTCAATATTCCTTTCAATAAGATTTGAGTCTGCTGTTCATTTTCCCAGTTCTATGCAAGGTTACTGTCTGTGGGTGTTTTGGGCCACCCTGCCCAATAACTCAAAGAAAGGCATCGCCTGTCTGGCATTGTTTCTTGTTATGTAGCCTTTCGCTATATGTAAGGACTCTTAAAAAAGTATATTATGATGGCGCACGCCTTTAATCCCAGCACTTGGGAGGCAGAGGCAGGTGGATCTTTGTGAGTTCAAGGCCAGCCTGGTCTACATAGTGAATTCCAGGACAGCTGAGGCTACAAGGAGACCCTGTCTCAAAAAAAGACAAAAAAAAAATTGTATTGACCCCACTAATCTTTGGTTATACTTTCCTTTTGGGTGTTGAAGACCCTACAATTGGCCCAGATAGAGCAATTTATTTTTACTCTTAAGGTCATTTGAGGATCTGTTCCTCAGGGGTCACATGGGCCTGCGAGGAGCCCCTGGCTCCTTTCTTTTACCAGTTCCATCTATGGGAAGATAAGTCAAAGGTCCTGCTCGACGATGGCCGGCTTCACTTGGGAGCATGGAGGAAATGTTTCCTCTGTGTTGACCCTCCTCTTTGTAGACTGGTTCTCACTGGTTTAAGTCCATCTGGTGGGGTCTCCACAGCCTCCTTGATCAAGAGGACAGAAGACTCACCACAGTTTCAGGAAATTTTGAGAGATGCTCATAGTCCCCTGGAACTTAATCGACCTAGGAAGAAAAGGAATAATCAAATTAGTATAGGTCTCATAGTATGGCTGTTAAACATCCAAAAAGATTAGTTCCACCAGTCTGGTACTTTTAATTACCATGTGCCATGTAGATAATGCTTGGACAAAGATCAAACACTCTCAGATAAACCTTGCCTAGACATATATTATATTCTTTGATCTAGTTGTACGTATAATTTGTCAGTTGGTTGTTGGACTAATATGGTTCCCTTTGGTTTTTTAAAACTAGCTAGGCTTTATTTATCTCTTGCATTGTCTAACCCTTCCACCATGGTTTCCCCATTTAAGGTGCCCCATTTTTCCCATTTCTCCCTTAATTATACCCTTCTCCTATGGTTCCACCTCTCTTGAGCTCCTTTCTTTTTATCCCCTAGGTTCCTTGTATAACCTTCCCTCCCCCCCTCCTTAAAATAACCCCATTTTTATCCATATCTCCCTTATTAACACCTGTTTCCTACTGTTCTTCTCATTCAGATTCTTTCTTTTCCTTTAACTCCATGGTTCCTTTTCATTATCCTGGTCTCTGTAGTTATGTCTGGATACATAATCACTTATCAGGATTTGGTGCTAGGATCCACATATGTGGGAGAACATATGTCATTTGGGGGGGAGTTGTTTGTTTTCTGAGTCTGTGTTATTTCACTTAGTTTAACAGTTTCTAGTTCCATCCATTTACTTGCAAATTTCATGATTTCATCTTTTTTTAACCACTGAGAAGAACGCCATTGTGTAATTGTACCACATTTTAATTATCTACTCATCAATTGAGGGACACTTAGGTTGCTTC